TTTTCACTCGGTATAATATTACTAACATAATATTATCAACGTAGGGCTGTGTGTACAAAAGGTTTGAATATCCCTGTTTAACATGTTTAACATGTTGGAAAAAATAAAACACAAAATATAAAATGTGCTATGCGTGATGATGTTAGCTTACCCTAACACATCACCAGGACTACAATTCACCTTTCCTCAATAATTACTATGGTGACTTTTATTTTGACAGGCATTTTTTGATTTTGTATTAATTTAAACTTATACTTACCTGAGGTCCAGGGGGACCCAGGCGAGGTGGGAGCCAGGTCGCTGGTACCTGTAAAGAAGAAAATATAATGTTAAATATAGCTAGTTTAGCAATCATTTCTAAGATAAATGTGCACGTGTATATATGAAGTAAATGGCCATTGTACGTATGTATATAGGTGATTTATGTGTGTATTGTCTGTTCTATTGTCTACCTGAACTGTGGATCATGGTATGAACCAGAGTTTAATGTGCGATGAGCTACCAGGTTTAACAGGGAAGGGGTACTATGGAGGAGTTGAAGTATGTTTGGGGTGGTCTGAGTGGATCAGGACACAGCAGTGCTACTGGAGTTTTTAACACCTCAGTGTCACTGCTGGACTCGAGAATAGTCCACCAACCAAAAATATCCAGCCAACAGCGTCCTGTGGGCAGCGTCCTGTGACCACTGATGAAGGACTAGAGGATGACGAATGACTGCAGCAGATGAGCTATCGTCTCTGACTTTATATCTACAAGGTGGACTGACAAGGTAGGCGTGTCTGATAGAGTGGACAGTGTAGTGGACACAGGGTTTAGATTCCACCTAAGTGCACCTATATAGTAAGTGGAGCTGATAAAATGGACAATGAGTGTAGAAACAAGGAGGTGGTCATAATGTTATGCCTGATCGGTGTTGTAGTGCTTTGTTGCCATCACTCTGCTCCCACACTGCACCGCTCACATGCTCTGCAACCAACATGAGACAGTCCATGTTCCTCTTTATGAATCTAGAGGTCATTATGTCACACACCTTTAGTGTTACAGTTCTATAGATCAGACAGTGATTGTTACCTGGAGGAAATGGATGTGATCCTCTGTGTGTGAAAGCTGCTCCAGCTCAGTGTTTCTCCTCTTTAGATCAGCAATCTCCTGCTTCAGTTGCTCCAGGAGTTTTTCAGTTTGTCTCAGTTGGTTCTTCTCCTGAGCTCTGATCAGCTCTGTTACCTCAGAGCGCTTTTTCTCAATGGAGCGGATCAGCTCAGTAAGATCCTCTCACTGTCCTCCACTGCTGCCTGTGCAGAGCTCTGTTACAACACACACACAAGATGGAGCTCCATTTACACACCAGCTATCATTCACTCTCTCACTGGGACTCTAGATGACTCACTGTCCACATTGTGGCAGTGTAGGATCTCTAAGTGTCCAACACTGGACTCCTCGCTGTCTGACTGCAGGAGAGTCTGACTGAGCTGTGAAACAGCTGCTCCAGCAGATCTCTGCTCACTACTCACCTTAAGAGTCTTCACAGCCTGTTTCACCTCCTGCAGCTTCTTCTCTTTCTCCTGGAGTCTCTGCTGGGATTTCCTCTGCATCTCCTTCAGCTGATTCTGAGGAGAAAGAATTTGTACTCTAGTTCATTTTAACAGCAGCTGAAGAGTTAAAGTTCACTCTAGTTCTACATGTGAGATAAAGCTGTAAATATCCTGGAAGATGGTGTTGGCTGGTCAAAGGTTTGCTGACCTTTTCGACTAGTTTATTGCTAACAGTAAGTAACGTCAGGTTTATTTAACACTTTCCTACCAAAATCACAACATTTTCAATATCATTTCCCATAAACTGACCACCTGTATAAAGTGTGTGATTCAGTAAAGAATCAGATTCTAGATCAGAATTTCAACTTCTCACCTGTTTGTCTTTTCTTTCTGCTACAGCTGCAAACTGTATCGTGGCCCTTGTGTTCATCCATCGTACACAAATAACAGACAAACTTTTGGTCAGTACGGCAGTAGATCTCGATCAGTTTATCATGTTGAGGGCAGATCTTCTCTTGTAGCTGTTTGGAGGCTTCAACCAGCTTGTGCTTCTTAAAGGCAGGAGACTGATAGTGAGGTTTAAGATGAGTTTCACAATAAGAAGCCAGACACACCAAACAGGACTTGATGGCTTGCGTTTTCTCCCAGTGCAGAAATCACACTCCACATCTCCAGGTCCAGCGTAACAGTGAGCAGGAGGAGCAGCTTGGAGTTCTGTCTTCTTCAGTTTCTCCACCACTTCAGCCAGCATGTTGTTTCTGCGTAGAACAGGCCTTGGAGTGTAAGTCTCTCTGCACTGGGGGCAGCTGTAGACCCCCCTCTGATCATCCTGATCCCAGCAGCCATTAATACACACCATACAGAAACTGTGTCCACAGGGAGTCGTCACTGGATCCCTCAGCAGATCCAGACAGACTGGACAGCTGAACTGGTCCTGATCTACTGAAATACTGGCCTCGGCCATTTTCCTGCACTCACAGACGGAGAGAGAGCAGCTCTCTGGGTTCAGTTTCGTTTTCTCTGAAATGAAGGAGCAGCAGAGTGGGAGTGGCTGCATGTGGAAGGATTTGATTGGTCAGAAGTCTGAATCATTATTTTTTTCATTAAAAGCTCAATGTCTACAGATATTCTAACTCAGAACTTATTAGTGAAACGATTATTAGTGTTTCTTCTACTAAAATAGTCTATACAGTGGAGCAGACAGTTCACTTATGACGTTACATGTTAATTCTATTGTAATTAAAGTCGGTGTTGCTCCAGTTTGAATGTATAGAGAGTTAAAAAACTAAACTGGCACATTTTATATACTGACAAATTACTCTGAATGAGTTCTGAATGTTTGTAAGTCTAAATGTATCCAGTGTGTTTGGACCTTTTGTCTGTTTTCTAATATTAAACTTCTTCTCTTCACACATCTAACATGAATTTGAATCTGTTTCTTTAACTGTTGTTTGAACCGATAGTAACTTTATTGGAGTCATAATAATTTAAACTGGTCTAAGGAGGGTCCAGCTACAAAGAGGATGAGGTTTGGTTATTTTTCAGTCACTATACTTGATCAGAGACACAGTCCATGCAGGGAAAAATATATCTGGATTATAAAAGTACAGAAAACAGCATTTGAGATGTTACTATAGATTTAATTTAGTCAGTTTGGTTTATGAGGTTTGGATACGTAAGAGACAAAGATTTATGAACAGGAAGTGTTTCTATGATTAAGAAAATGACTGGTGAGTAAAGTTTGACGCTTCAGTGGACGGAGAGCTGTGGAGTGAAAAATTCTGAAAATCATATTTTTATGCTTAAAGAGTTCCAGATATGGTGTGATGAGTGTTCATGCTTTATAGCAGAATGATAATGCAGTGCTCTACATCACCACAGAGGGGCAGCACAGCACTGCTCTGAAGCCTGTCTCTGGAGTCTAAAGTGTAGGGGGATAAAGAGTCTTTTATTTTTTAAAGGAATTCAGTGAATTGTGCATTTTCTTCATTTTTGTCCTGATGTAGAACCTTCATGTGCTTCTCCTTGTAGGGAGCGGTTTACTAGGTTTTATCTAGAGCCTTACTGGCTGGAGGGGAACCTGTGGCTGAAATCCAAAGAACAATCTCCAAAAGCCACTGAGACATGCTGTTGGCTGAGGAGGGGGACGAGAGCAGAACCACCAAGCATGAAGATGAGACCCCCAATCTGAATAATCCCCTGTTTCACCAGGTTCAAAGAGAGAGCAGCTTCCCACAACGGCCTCAGAAAAAAAACGGTGAAAATGTTACACTGGCATTTGTATCAAGATACACAATAGTTTTCTAAGTTATACGAACCAGTATGTGCTCGACCAGGCTTGCGTTTGGTCTGATACCTTTTCTCTGAGGCCTTTTGGTCTGACGGCGTTTGGTCTGATGTTCAGTTTCTCCAGATCTGAGACCTGACGGCGTTTTTTTCTCGAGACTCAAAGTTGTTTAGCTTGAGGAATAATGCCGTTCTGACTCTGAGGTCTGAGGATGTCCTAAAATGTACCCCCGCCTAGTGCTAAATTAACATACATTTGCATGACGATCAGTTTTCGGAAACGTAAAGTAAATCTCCAGCAGGTGGCGCTGATGTTTGTTTGCTTTTGCCTTTTCATTCTGACACTTAAAGCGCGTCCACGCCGAAAACTGAATCACAAACCATCACTTTGCTGTTGATTTATCTATTTTGCATTTTCATTTTCATCAGATATTCAGTCGATTGCAATCAAAAATAAATCAGAACGTAAATACTGGATTTTGATTTTTGTTTAGACGTGTAAGTGAAGTTTGGATTTTCTTTTCTTTATTAGCTTTTTCATTTTAGATTTGGCCATGAAATACCAGAATAAGGACTAAAATGAAATTTCAAATAGCTGATTTAAATTTATTTTTATTTTTGTCACAAATGACTCGTGCTCATGTGAAAAATGAAATTGTAAATTCAGTTATTTCGTTTCATTTTCAATTTTGGCAGGATATTTGTGCAGATATTTGGAAAAAGAAATGGCAAAAAGAGGTTTGCATTTACATTTTATTGCTTTAATATTATTTTTTTTTGGCTGGATTTGCTTCCCATACATGGCAGCTCAAGTGTCATTAAAACAAAACTATACTAAATGCGAAGAAATTCTGAAAATCATCTCAGTTTGATGTAATTCTACTTTTCACTCAAATTGTTATGCTGATGATCTAATTTGTAATGAAAAACTACATAAGCAAGAAAAGCAAAATAGCATTTTCACTTTTGGACCCCAATGTATGTTTTAATGTTTTGTAATGAGACTGATTAATGAAGCTCTTCACATAAGTGGTCAATGCTTTTTAACCTCATACGGGAAAAATACCTGCATGTATTTAGTGTATACATTATATTTTCATGGAAAGCAAAACGTCAATAAAACAAATTATATTTCATTACAGTTTTTCTTTATGTAAAGCATTTTTAAACAATGGTACCAAAACCGTTTTTTAAAGATTTCTTGAGTTTTATTGATGCCAAATATACATTAAATCAATGGAAATCTAGCTACTATAAGGCTGTAAGAGTTTGTAGCTCAGTGTGATTAGAATACAGAATTCTTATACTTTTACCAAAGCCCAGTTTGTCACTGTATACAGATATTTTCATTCGGCTCTGTTACTGAAAACACTTTAGACTCATTATCTTAGTTTCTTTAAGGCTCAAACAGCTGAGACAACCAAACCCACCCAGGAAGCTGAGGGAATGGGGTCTGAACATTTTCAAAACATGACATATTGAATTGTGCAACAAGGTAACCATGATATACAACATACACATCATTTTGGATCACACAGCCTCACAGTTCCACCACTAACCCCAATCCTACCATGAACCCAGAATCCAGCATAGAGAGGCTGAGTGAATGTAGTGTGGACTGTGTGTAGGAGGGTCATTGTGTCAGAGACGCTGTAGAAGGACAGAGTTCCTGCACTGTGATCCACATACACTCCTATTCTGGAGGATGATGAGGCTGAGATCTTAGTCTGAATGTTGTTGTGATAGAAAGAGAGAGAGGGAGAACACCGCAGACTCCAGGACTGACTGTTGTGTCCAAACCAGCTCTCATTTCCCCCTCCTTTCCTGCTGATCCCTTTATATGAGACTGATATGTACAGCTCCCATATTCTACTACTGCTCCACTCAACCTCCCAGTAACAGCGTCCACTCACACTCTCCTTACTCAACACCTGATACCAGCAGTCAAATCTCTCTGGATGATCAAAGTAAAGCTGATATATCCCAGTGTTTGTCACCACTCTGTTCTCCTCAGACAGAATGAGGTACTGATTCACCGTGTTGGGATCCAGAGTCAGACGACAGAAATCTAATAAAAAAGAAAAGAAATATGAACATTTCAGAATGAGAAGCTAATAATTTTTCATTCAGTTCACATTTCTATTATTTTAGGAAATTCTTAATCATTGATCAAAACTATAACATTCATATTACTATGTGTGTGTTTGTGTGTGTGGCGAGTGTGTGATGTGTGAGTGTGTTGTGTGTGATGTGTGTGTGTTGGGTGTTAATGTGTGTGTGCTGTGTGTTAGTGTGTGTATGTGTTGTGTGTGTGTGTGTGTGTGTTATGTGTGTGATGTGTGTGTGTCTGTTGTATGTTAGTGTGTGTGTGTATATGTTGTGTGTGTGTTGTTTGGTAGTGTGTATGTGTGTATATGTGTGTGTGTGTGTGTGTATGTTGTGTGTGTACATGTGCGTGTGTACGTGTTGTGTGTGTGTATGTGTGCGTGTATGTGTTTGTGTGTAACTGTTTGTGTGTGTGTCTGTGCATGTGAGTGTGTGTGCGTGTGTATGTGCAAGTGTGCATGTGTGTGTGTGTGTGTGTGCGTGTGTGTGTGTGTGTGTGTGAGTTTTGTGTGTGTGTGTGTGTGTATGAGTGTGTGTGTCTGTGTGTGTGTGTGAGTGTTGTGTGTGAGTGTGTGTGTGTATATGAGTGTGTGTGTGTGTGTGTGTGTGTGTGAGTGTTGTGTGTGAGTGTGTGTGTGTATATGAGTGTGTGTGTGTGTGTATATGAGCGTGTGTGTGTGTGTGTGTGTGAGTGTTGTGTGTGAGTGTGTGTGTGTATATGAGTGTGTGTGTGTGTGTATATGAGTGTGTGTGTGTGTGTGTGAGTGTGTGTGTGAGTGTTGTGTGTGAGTGTGTGTGTATATGAGTGTGTGTGTGTGTGTGTGTGTGTGAGTGTTGTGTGTGAGTGTGTGTGTGTATATGAGTGTGTGTGTGTGTGTATATGAGTGTGTGTGTGTGTGTGTGTATATGAGTGTGTGTGTGTGTGTGTATATGAGTGTGTGTGTGTGTGTATTGTGTACATACACTGTAGGAAATCTTTGATTTTTGGCTCTGGGGGTAAAATCATCTGAACTGCTGAAACTGTGGAGAAAGAAAATGAAACGTTTTCATTTAAAACTACTTTCTAAAAAGGATGGAGATCAGACACTTTCACCAAAAACAATCTCTTTGTTCTCTCTCTCAAACAATTTTAGTATTGTTTATTAAAATTAATCTTATAAACATAAAGGTCTTATTACTCGCTGTCGTAGCCACAGAACTTACATATTAATTTAATAATAGTTACTGTATAAATAATAGAACCTCTAAATAGTTTATGTTTTTATATATTACTAGATTACTTAATTTGTGTAAGCATGTGTGTGTGTGTGTGTGTGTGTGTGTGTGTGGTCAGAGTCTATATGTGAGTTGTAGAATATTGAGAATTGTAAATGTAGACTGTTAGTAATACGTAGACTGTTAGTAATAAAGATACTGTGCAGGTACATTTTTCATTTATCAAGGTTTTAAACAACGTAAATGTAACTCAAAGGTATAACAGTGGTTTTAAGGTCCAGTTGTGTACCTTAAATTTGTTTTTCCCAGTGGAAAAGTCTGTTTTTGTACCTTTTCATAACTGAATGTTTTAAAATAGAACAATAAAATAAAAAGCCTGGAGACAAGACGGGGTGTGTGGAGAGTGTAGAGTTCAGCAGTCAGAGTAAGAGAGGAATATTAGATCATTAGTGTGTTAAAGTGATGAAATCTTATGTCTGATTTTCACTCTGAACAACTAAAGATGTTCATCATTGTTTCACAGCAGGAAGCTCCTCTTACCATGTGTAGAGATTTTACTGAACTCCTGCTTGCAGAATTCCTCTAGTCTCTCTTTCAGATCAGAGAGAGATTTCCTCACTCCATCAAATGAGAGATGCTGATGGACAGTGATGCTGGGTGAGTCCTCAGATCCAGAAGAGACACAGAGAGACTGGAAACTCTACAGAGAGAAACACAATGGAGAGAGAACAATGTACAAGAGGAAAGTTCAGCATCATCCTTAATGGCCCTAACTTTCTCTACTGGAGACAAACACTCACCTGAAATGCAGTGACCCACATAAGTCACACTGGGAGGTCAAAATAGAGAGTAAGGAGTATGTGTCAACCTGGTTTATTTCATAAACTATTGCACTGTTGGGGTTCTGCCTCCTCCTTGACTCTTCCTCATGCTCACCTTGCATGTGATGTGCATTCATTTTAGGCTTTACTTTGATATGGCCTGGTTCTGATTACTCTCAGTATCTCTGCACTTTTTTATCTATGGGTCACTTTTTCTGTCAGTGTCTTTAAAACCACAGTCACCAACAAAGTGTGGACCCTCACAGTGGTAACTTTCCACTGGTTTGGAGGACATGTCTGACTTCCTTTCTGATACGCGATGTGCCTGATGATGCCACTCATCTGGTCATGTGTATGTCTGGTGTTAGTAGCCACTGACTCCATGGATTATACACTCGAAAGCGCGTTTGTGAAAGTCAGTGTGGTTTCTCTGAACAGCTGATGCTGCATACTGTCATCATTTATACCACAGACTACACTGCCGTGCAGTATGTCCCTTAACACTGTTCCAAATCCTCAGAGCTCAGAGGGCTGCTGTAGTCCTTGAATTAAGTCTTCCTTGGGTTGCCAAATTCCGAATCATTTTGTAGGTTTTAGCTGCATAAACACTGAAGAGGACGGAACGCTGCTTAGCTTCATCAGCTATGCTATTCACCAGGATAAAGTGCTCAACCTAATTGCCGTCTTCATCCACAGTTTCACAGATGGAATCAAACATAGCGGTAACACTGTCTATAAACGTCACATTTGTAAGCATCTCAGCATTATTAGTAGTGTTAATAACATGCTATACTGTCAGTGCCAAAGAGGTCAGTCCCAGCTTGGAGAGCTTAAAGTAAAGACAAATACAAATTTATTAATTTCCTGAGATTTCCAATATTTTATTTCTCATTGCTGGTGCTGTTAGGGCTGCATCTTCAGGGCTTCAGTGCTGAATATTCTGATGCTCCATCAGGCTGTCCAGCCTAGGGCTGTTGCTACAATGTGCTTTTCTTAACTAGCACTCTTACTTTAAATGTTACACTACATCACAGCAAACCAAGTATCCGTGGGCCCCTCCCCTTAACCCCCTCTGACATCACACTGAGTGTGAAGTCACTGTGGAGTGAAGGCCTGGAAAGGAAGAGGCGAGATAGTAAAGCACTGTTATTGTAATTTGTTCCCTCACTGATTCTAATGTCAAGCACTAGAACTTCACTCTGTAACACTAATATACTATACTTCACTACAGTAATACTAATTTCTGCTAGCATTCTATTGGATATGCAGTGTTAAGTTAGTGCCAGGCTAACGGTGGTGTAAACTTTTTTTGAAGAGTGTTTTGTATGTGTTGAATAAGTTGTGGTCATGAATGATTTGAGGTACCCTGACAATTTAGGAAATGCTAACAGGGTTTGAGCTGCCGAGACTAGCAGTGCTCTAAAAGCCTCTTGTTGACACAACATGCAGAACATGAAACATCAATGCTTGTTCACATATCTTCAATGTCAGTCAGAGTTTCAGAGTCTTTCTGATTTCATGTTTCTCAGTAGATCAGATAGTGATGGTTACCTGGAGGAAATGGATGTGATCCTCTGTGTGTGAAAGCTGCTCCAGCTCAGTGTCTCTCCTCTTTAGATCCGCAATCTCCTGCTCCAGTTGCTCCAGGAGTTCTTCAGCTCCACTCAGTTCAGCCTCCTCCTGAGCTCTGATCAGCTCTGTTACCTCAGAGCGCTTTTTCTCAATGGAGCGGATCAGCTCAGTAAAGATCCTCTCACTGTCCTCCACTGCTGCCTGTGCAGAGCTCTGTTACAACACACACACAAGATGGAGCTCCATTTACACACCAGCTATCATTCACTCTCTCACTGGGACTCTAGATGACTCACTGTCCACATTGTGGCTGTGTAGGATCTCTAAGTGTCCAACACTGGACTCCTCACTGTCTGACTGGAGGAGAGTCTGACTGAGCTGTGAAACAGCTGCTCCAGCAGATCTCTGCTCACTACTCACCTTAAGAGTCTTCACAGCCTGTTTGACCTCCTGCAGCTTCTTCTCTTTCTCCTGGAGTCTCTGCTGAGATTTCCTCTGCATTTCCTTCAGCTGATTCTGAGGAAAAACATTTTATATAGTTATTTCGACATACAAGCAGGCCTGTGCACAGACATTTTGTCCTTAATTAGCTCAATGAGGTGTGTTACGGGGGGATGGAGGTGAAACCTGCAGGAAGGTAGATCTTCAGGAGGAGTGTTGATGTCCACACAATAAACTTATCAAATTGAGATTAACGGCTAAGTTATAACTGTATTTTAGAGTTTGACAGAGTCTGGCATACATTAATGTTTTTATGATACATAAACTTTCTTTAGTAGGTTATTTATATCCCAGCTTGCCAAAATTGGATTTGGTTGTTGTTGAAATGAGTTACATGATGTAATGTGATGCTGAAGTTATCAGTGCTTTGTTTTTGACATTTTCATGCACTGTTGTGATGAGTGTATCTGTGCCAAGTAGGAGTTAACTGTGGGGAAATCTCTACAAGCAGGAGGTTTCACTTGAAATGTGTGCTGGGAGAAAAGAGCTGGCTGATGAAATGTTGATTGACTTGTTTGACTCGTTTAGTATTAACAATGTGACAGATAAATTATTTAAGCTACCACTCCCTCCCCCACAAGCGTCACATAAGTCATTTCAGTCACTTAAAATATACAGTTACAGTTTCAATTCCGTACCTATATAATCCAACTTACGTAAGAAAAACTGATTAAACATAAAGTCATTCAATAAATTATTGTTCTTACCTGTTTCTCAGACCGTTCTGCTGCAGCTGCAACTGTATCATGACCTTTGTGTTCATACTTCGTACACAAATAACAGATGCAGCTTTGGTCAGTACGACAGAAGATCTCGATTACTTTATCATGTTGAGGGCAGATCTTCTCTTGTAGCTGTTTGGAGGCTTCGACCAGCTTGTGCTTCTTAAAGGCAGGAGACTGATAGTGAGGTTTAAGATGAGTTTCACAATAAGAAGCCAGACACACCAAACAGGACTTGATGGCTTTGCGTTTTCTCCCAGTGCAGAAATCACACTCCACATCTCCAGGTCCAGCGTAACAGTGAGCAGGAGGAGCAGCTTGGAGTTCTGTCTTCTTCAGTTTCTCCACCACTTCAGCCAGCATGTTGTTTCTGCGTAGAACAGGCCTTGGAGTGAAGGTCTCTCTGCACTGGGGGCAGCTGTAGACCCCCCTCTGATCACCCTGATCCCAACAGCCATTAATACACACCATACAGAAACTGTGTCCACAGGGAATAGCCACTGGATCCTTCAGCAGAGCCAGACAGACTGGACAGCTGAACTGGTCCTGATCTACTGAAATACTGGCCTCGGCCATTTTCCTGCACTCACAGCCTGAAAGAGAGAGCAGCTCTCTGAGATCAGTTTTGTTTGCTTGGAATGAAATGAGCTGCAAAGTGGGCGTGGTTACCTGTGTAAGATTGTGATTGGACAGAACTCTTATTTGAGTTAAACCTTCAATATCTATAGACATTCTTACTCAGATCTCATTTCAGTCAGTGGTGAACAGAGTGTTTTCTATCAGAAGAAAGTTTTTCTCCTAAAAATAGTTTATGCAGTGGACTAGGTAAGATGTGAAATTTGCAGAATTTGATCAAAAACTCAAAAACAGCAAGTGGTGAATGAAGTTCTAAAGACAGACCTTTCAGTGGAAGCAGGGATGCAGTAGAACTCTTTTACCTCCACCAACAGTTTGAGTGAACAGTCTACCATCCTGTCTTGCTCTGTCTTTCTTTGTTCCTGTCTGTGTCTCCCATTCTTTACCTTCCCTCGAGTGTTTTGCCATGTGCTTTTGTTGTTGTTGTGGTCTCTGTCTCCTCTATCCTCCTTCCTTGTCATCTGTCTCACCTGTGTGTAGTCTGTAGCCCCACCCTCTCATTGGCCCTAGGTGTTTCTTGTTTCCTCTCAGTGTATTTATACCCCTGCATTTGCTTATTTCAAGCTTTTATAGTAGAGTGATAATCCATTACTGTACATCACCACAAAAGGGCAGCACAGCATTGCTTTAAAGTCTGTCTCTGGAGTCTAGACCGTAGAGAGTTATGCTGACAAAACAGGTGAATAGGGTCATTTTTTAAAGCAATCATGGGTCAAATTTTCCAGTTATATTTCCAGTTTCCAAACGAGACATTTTCTGTTTAAATCTGCATTAATTTACATCTAGTCTTTGGGTGATAGTAGAATTTAAATGTGTATTTCATTGTGAATTCACACTCCGGGGAAGAGATTTTACAGAATTTTTACAGATTATGAGACTATCATTGTTTTACTGGTTGGTCAAGAAAACACAATGCACTGATTTATAAAATGTTTTTCCAAGTCATTTTCTAGAAAAAAATCAAGTATAAATAGTTAGTAAGGCTTTATTAAATCCTCCAGTAATATCATTCAGAATGGATTTAGGAATGATCATGTAAAATGTTATGAATGCAGAGATCTTTGGTTCTGTATGTACAGAAAGCAGATTTTGAGAAACACAACTTTGAG